GGGGCGGGGGGGTGAAGGGGCACCTATGGAGTTGGTTGGAGAGAGAGTGCTTTGGCCTGAGAGGGAGTAGCATTGAGGTAGTAAGCCAGTTGCTGGCTCCACTGTCAGCTCTCAGGCTTGGTAACCTTATGCTGTTTGAGCACTGCAAGGTTTGCTACAGCGGTGCATGCCACCCATCGGGGAGGTGGTCCAAGGCAGTTCCGGACTTGAATCTCCTCCACAGCAGACTTCTAGAGGGAGAGGACGGTATGTCGAATACGTTAGTGGTGGTGAGGACTATACGTTTTCAGAGAGGACTTGGAGAAGATGATGGTATTGTGCTCCACTCCTGCGCGTCCATATCTGCTTGGGGAAAAGAAGACTGGCTGCACAAAGACAGGGTCTTCTTCTTCTTCTTCAGGAAGGGTGAACATAGCTGTGAACCTATGGAACATAAGTCCTGCCACATCCTCAACCTTGTAAGCTGTAAGAGCAAACACTCATTCCCCAAAGAAAACAGCAGGGGACAAGCGGATTCCAGGTTCCTGTCATCTTTGACACTCTGTTCCATCACCGCTTGCTTTTCACAGTCCTCTGACAACAATGGAACAAGTTGAGAGGGAGAGTTTGCCGGAAAACCGAGACAGCAAGAAAGTACGAACGATTAGTTTATACATCAGGAATGCAAGGCCAGGGTCCTAACCTCGTACAATGCAAGCAAACGGCCCGCTTCAACATGTCCTTCAGCGCGTTCAATTCTCTCATGAAGAGCAACCTCCCAATCTTTCGTGCCACTGCCTTCCTCCACCTCACCAAGCAGAGGGCCTGCCTCAAACTCCCCAGGAACCTCAGGTGCTCCTTGGACTTCCTCTTCTCCGCCTCTACGCATTAGAACTCCCCTCCGCAGCAATCGGCCCAGAACAGGGGCAACTCTATCCTCCCCTTTACCGTTCCCCTTCTGCTTCATAGTTTTCCGTCGCGGCACTTGTTGAAGAATGGCAGACATCCACTGCCAGTCACCCAAGGTGGGACATCCGTAGACACAATCTAGCACAACCTCACCGAATTCTTTCTCGCTCAGAAACGCCCCTCTCTCCACTTCCTTAGAGCTCTCCAACTCTTCCAAAACCAGAGCACACAGATCAATCTTTCCTTCGTGCGCTCTCTCTACCAACCATTGACCGAGCATCGAGTTCTTCCAAGCAGGAGTGTCTGATTTGACTTCAAGTGCGTCACTCTCTGGTCCTGCTTCAGTCCTTCCGACCCTTTTCAGGAATGCGAAACCTCTCTCCCGCAACCTCTCCACGGCATTCTTGGCGTTCACACCGCGCATGATGATGCAGAACTTTTCGTAATTCCCCATATCCTCCCACATTGACAGGGACAGCTCCATGCCTCCCCCCTCGCCAGTTTCCTCCGCGGAAGCCCCATAAACAACGCCATGAAGATCGGATAACATTTCTAAGAATGGCACCAACCCCTCAAAACCCCTCTGTATTCCCAAATCGAGCAATGACAAGCTATGTTCAAGCTGACCGCTCATCTCATCAATCTTTCGGGCCCTTGCCCTGTACCAGTCTTCAGTCGTCTCTTTCGGCGGCCAAACCACTCCCTTTGTGATTCTCACCATTTCCTCAGTGCAGACATCAATGCCAACAGCTTTCGCTCCCTCATCTGCATCCTCCAGCAGGCCCATTTGAGTCAATTTCTCTAGAATTTCTGCCTTCTCAACCCAGTCAACGGGCCGAAGAGGGCCGGGAACATCTGGGTTAACTGCAGGAAGGATTGCTCTATATGTGTAAGGGGGGAGGGTCTCTGGTAGGTTGTCCAAGATCTTCAAGATCGATGGCGACAGTGTGAGAGCATGCCGCTTGAAAAGATGCTCTAGTGTGCTTATCATTCCGTGTTGGGCAAACTGAACGGCAGCCTTGGGAAGGTCGCACGCACGAAACTTCAAATACTCTTCAGAAACGTACCTGCAAAGAGGACGTAGAAATGCTTAGCAAAAGAAGCAGGCCCACAGGGAATTTCTTTTCCTTTTTTTTCCCTTTTTTTTCCCTTTTTGGGGGGGAGAGGGGGTTACCCAACGACTTTAGTGCGTTTATTATCTGATTCTGTCAGGACTCAAACTCACATTCAATGTGCTAACAGTTACATGCTTGTGACCAATCAGCCGAATGAGCTAGGTAAGGGGTTCTTAACTTCTTGCTATTTCTTTACTGATGTTAAGTAACTGTACCTATATGGATGCAAACTATTGTGGGCGGCTACAACCTGGTAATATCACCGTAGTACCAGAAGGTAATGAATAGGAAAGGCCAGACTGGTTGCCCTCGTTAAGTCCCCGACATTGAAGCCAACTCTTGTACCACCAAAGTGCTGGAAGGGCATAGAAAGACGTGGCCAGAGCGGGACCCCCACTAAGGCCCACACATGGTGTAATCACCGCAGTACCAGAAGGTCATGAATAGGAAAGGCCAGACTGGGTGCCCTCACTAAGTCCCAGACATTGAGGCCAACCCTTGTACCAGCAAAGTGCTGGAAGGGCGTAGAAAGACGGGGTCAGAGCAGGACCCCCACTAAGGCCCACCCATGGGGTTCAGTGCTTGACACACCGCCCATGCAGACCCCAGAATACACAAGGGGCTTCTTAGCTTCAACGGACCGCCAAAATGAGGTCATCCCATCGCCCTGCCCACCTTGATCATCCATTTTGTGAAAATATAGTCAAAAACACACGTCCGAACCAATGCAAACTGTTGGGAGTATAGGAATCAAATGCCCCAGCACGGGAGTCCCAATCCGAGTAGGGCAATACTATAACCTCCGGGCATATTTTTTAGAAATCGTCTGTAATAATTTTTAAAAATAAAAAGTTGTTCTTTTCATTGATTTTATTGATATGATTGTTTGGTGCATTGAGCCTCACTGCTCGTCACCTTGAGCACACACACACATTGAGAGATCACACGAAATCCACACTGGAGACCAGAGATGCAAAGTCCAGAACAGCACCGCTTAGAAATTCCAACAAATTATCATATTAGAAGTTTCGGAGTTCCAGTCGCCAAGCGCTCATCAGCGCAGAGTTCAGCAAACCACATCCAGCCTCTTCTACCAGGTAGGTCACTCTTCCCCCTCTCTGTCCCTCTTCTCTCTTTGTGTCGTCCTCCTCTTGCATGCGCTCAATCTCTCCCTCTCACTCTCTCTGCTTGAGGGTCTTGACTCTGAATACGTCCGCTACTACTCAGCTCTATCCCTACTACTAGCTGTGCGGCTATGGCCGCCTTCCTCTCACAGCGCAGCGCTGCCCAGCCAGGGCTCTAGCGCATGCCACTCACAGATAGCGCACAAGCGCCTCAGCAGCACTTCCCCACTTCTCACGAATGAGCCATCTGTCTGAAATGTGGCTGGCCAGTGCTTATATTGACTTGGACTGAGCCTGAACTCGTCCCAGCCTCTACTTCCTTTGGCTTGACTTGGATCTGGTACCACATGCCCACGGCCTGTTTTGCTTCAGAATGTGAGGCCCGGTACCTTTTTGGGCTTTTCTTGGTGTGCTGCTGCTTTGGATCTGTGGGACGTGACTTCTGCCTGTTCAATATGATTTTTGACTGCGAGATGTGACTCTTGCCTGTGGGACACGACTTTTGCCTGGGGACGTGTTCTTTTGCCTGTGGGATATGACCTTTCAACATGAGACGTTACTTTTGCCTATGGAATGCAACTTTTGCCTCTGGGATGGTAGCCGTTGGACTGGACCCCTGGGGTACCCGACTGGGACCTTTCTGAAACTGGCCGATTTGGCCTCTTTTGGCCTCTGAGACTTTGACCCTGAGATTCGGATTTGGGGTCCGCATCGTGGAATGCCTTTCATTGGTTTTAATTAAATATCTTTTCCTACAAGAATAAGAAAATGGAGATAAATCATCTGAGTAACAGCAGAATTTCTTTCTTCTTATCTTTCCTCTTCTTGTCCTCCCTTTTTGCCACCACTGTCACCCTCCTCCACTTGCTTGCTCGCGTTTCTTTCGCAGGTTGACTGAAGAAAAAAAAGGTTCTCATGTACCAAGAAGACTGACCTGCATCGTTGAGGAGCCAGCCCGTCCTGCCCGCGGTCAGATGGGCAGGGGAGACCAGCCCGGGAAACAGGGCAGGTCAAAAGCGAGGCAAGAACCTCAAAAAACAACCAAGAAGGTTGGAGATGACACTCAGCCAAAAGTTGTTCACATTGCAATTTTACACAACATCTCTTTTTCCCAGTCGTTTTGAAGTTCTCTTTTTTGGGCGAAAATTTCCATTGTCTAGAGATTTTGCAAATTTGCACTGGATTTGCCGAACACCTTGCCCGGGCCTCGTCTGGGTGGGTACCTGGGTGACCTGTTGAGGGCAGGGGATGACGGGGGTGAGCCACCCAGCCGGAAGCCTGGACGCATCATTTCCAGAGTACCAGATGATTCCTAACAAGTGTCCAGAGTAAGATCCATGAATGAACGATTCCCCATCATCCTAGAAAGAAGATCTGACTGGGGTTTACTTGTCATCCTAAGCATAAGGTCTGGCTGGAGAAGTAGCCTAAGTCATGGGAAGACGGAGACCAAAACAGGTAATGAGAACGAAACATACAGGGCTCAGCAACCTCGGTTACGATTGCAGGCATTGATAACTACGCTCACTGTTTACCTGAAACAACCGTTCACACCAGTTATAAAAAAAAAATGGAAGTGCAGACAGCAAGACGGACCTGTTAAGGTTCACGGCCAAGAAGGTTTCCATCCGATCCCTGTACTGAAGGAGCCGCAGTCTTTGTCGTCTATACCACCACTTTCTGGGCACTTCATCACCGCTGGACTCCGACACATTCTCCCTTGTTTCATCGCTCTCTCCTTCTTCCTCCCATACGCGGAACTTTTCCGTCTCTAAGAGACCATATTGCAAGAGTGCCATCGTACTCCCAGCATTGGAGCTCACCCTCCTGAGACATTCCTTCAGAACCCAATCCCTGTCCTTGATCTTTGGCAGATTGTCATGAATGCTGTCTTTTCCGCCATCGGATTTCAGCCACCTGGCCTTGTACACATCCCCAGCATCCAAGTCAAACTTCCGTGCAAGCTTTAACGCAGACTCAAATTCTCCAGCAGCAAGGTGAATCCTCAGCATCTGCGAAGGCGTTTGCTCGACCAAGGACACGAGGCGCCATCCCTGTGTCGTCATGTCACTCTTACTATCATTGCCCGCATCAGCCTTCTCTCTCCCACCCCAAGGTATCCATTTCGACAGTCCAGACATTCGCCCACCTTGCAGCTCATCATCTTCCTCTTCCTCCTCCTCTTCGTCTTTCTCCTCGTCCTCCTTGTCCGCATTTCCTTTGTCATTCTTGTCAGGTCCTTCTTTGGCTTCTTTACGAGAACAAACATCATCTGTTTTTCCTCCTGTTGCCGTCGCCTCTTCTTCCTTCTTGATATCATCGAGGACAAAAATCCGTCCACGCACTCCTTGTGTTACACAGAGATGAGGCTGGAAAACCTCCCGGGTTTTACCGAGAATATTCACTAGATCTGGGACTGTGCTTACCGACAGGATGCCAGACGTCCCTGCAATTATCAATGCCTGATCTGACCACCAACCAATGTCGTCCACATCCTTAACATCCCAAGAGCCGCTCTTCCCGACCTCCGTGTCCTTGTCGCTACTTCCTTGCGCTACAGGAGAAGGAGATTTTCCCAGCTTGATGAAAGCCACAGACGGCTTTGTGTCGATTTCCATTTTCATCTCTAGGAGATGCAGGTTACCCTGCTGATCGACACATGCGACTGTTTTCCCATTCGGCGAGAACACTGCCTTCGGAGTGCATGAGGTTTCATTTGCAGGACGCCCTCCGGCACCCAACCTGAGCCATGACTGCCCAAGGCCAGGCGCACGCCAGCTTCGTGGGACGGGTGTGTGACTGATCACGGTCGAGAAGGGTGATGAATCGGTCAGCGTCCAGAAGGAAACGGAGAGAGCGCATTGTTGTCCGCCTGTACCGGAGACACGGAAAGGGTTCACGCAGACACGGCAAAGAACAACTGGGCGATTTTACCAAGCTGGCTCAACCGGCTTCAAATCCCTGAAAAGAGAACAGAGAGGAAAAGCGTTGGCAGAACAGCCTAGGGGCCAGGCCAGAGAGACGACCTTCCTCTCCGATTCTTTCATTCCCTTCCTCTTTCATTTTTTTTGTCTTCTTTTCCTTTTTTGAACGGTGTGTGGGAGGGGCAGGGGTGGGCACTACTCCCATTCTCAGTTGCAGAGGCAAGAAAAAAAACAGTTAAACGAACAGACAGAGAAACAGATAAACAAAATTCAATTGACAAATGGAAATACTAAACGAAACAAAGATTTCAAAAATGAAGAAAAGATGCAACCGGTTCTTATGGTCTGGCAGAGAGGGTACAAGGGAAGCATCAATAACCTTCATTGCAAATCTTCGTCCTATAATTTGTGTAGTTTGCTTCACTCGCAAGTCAAACATGGCTAGAGATTTTCAATGGTCTTTCCCTCCCCTCCAAGGAAGGCAGCAGGCACATAAATTACCCAATCCTGACTTGTGTGATTTCTTCCCAATGCTCTTAATGTCAAAGTGAAGAGATTCAACCAAACGCAGGTAAATGGCGGGGAAGGAAAAAAAAAAAAAAAAAAGAGAATGATCTTTTCCACAGCCCTTTAGGAGCTTAAACCACTACCGCCGGTTGGGAAAATAGGGAGGCCTCGGGTGGGCCTCCGATCGTTTAGGAGGCCGAAACGAAACGACAACTGCCGATGATATTTAATATTTATCAATGTCGGATGTTGTCAGGCCCAGCCCCCGACTTTTTAAGAGTTTGCAAAAACTGCCAGTTTTCCCTATTTTCCCAACACTGGCAGAGGTACTAGTGCTTTAAGCCTTTAAGCAATTGATTGCAAGCATAAAACCATTATCGTCTGAGGGATTTCTTGTCCTTTTTCCTTTTTTTTTTTTTTTTTTTTTTTTTTTTTGAAGGGTGACGGTCTTGAGATACCACATAAAGCTGACCGGCACCATACTTATATTATTCTGCTCATCTGATTACATCTCGATTCGAACTTGGGGTCAGTTTTTCAACAGTTCATGTGCGTCTAATGGATTTCCCTTCAGTTGCCAATGGTAGATTTCCCCAGCACCACCCACCCCACGTGGCTGAATGATACGCACATTTTACTAATGATGAACAGATCATGGGTTCAAAATTCAAATCCTGATGGAATCACAACAATACAATAAGGTTTGGCCAGTCCCTTCAAAGGGGGAAAGAAAAAGAAGAACCCCCCCCCCCCCCCCCCCCAACACTGGCCATAAATGAGCACAACTCACACAAATTACTGAGACGCATATCCGTAACGGAGATCATCAATGCAATATCCAGAGAGTCATTCATAAGACACTAAACATAGACCAGTGGCGGAGTGTACGACAGATTACACTGTGATGCTACATCCTCCGGGAGTTCCAATAGAGTCGTCGTTGCGCACAGCGATGGATGGGTATGGGAAAAGGAAAGGGACACAGATAGGACGCACCTCCGGCAGAAGCCGCAGCATCTGGTGTGCTTGCTCCGGGGCCAACAACGACAAGGAGCGAGCGCGCTGGCAAGAAAGTCATGCACATCACACCTGAAGGATGCTGCTTTCCCAGCTGTAATTTTGGATAAGCCACAGGAGCAGGACCGCTGGTTGGTGACCCCGCTGGAACAATAGGAAGGCGATAAAGCATCTTGTCTTGCCCAAGCACCAGCAACTCGTACCTGGATATTCCAACGAGCGCGCCAGCCCAGTCAATCCCAACATCACACATCAGGCACACAAGGACCTGTCTTCTTTTCCCCACATTTCCTACTTTCCCTTCCTTCCACCTCTCACCCCTTCACTCCTCCAAGATGAGAGCAGGTTAACGGAGGCCCAAAATGTCAGACAACTTGTCATGTCATTTATAACAAAACCCAAGGGTCGTTTTAACCAAACTTGCCACCAATTCATAGAGTGGACACCATGCTAGCTAATTGCAAAAAAAAACCCGAAAAATAAAACCAAAAAAAACGGCAAAACATCAGGGAAAAAGTGCACTTTCATGAAATTTCGCCAACATTCCAATTTCAGAAATCTTGTGAAATTTCAGCAATCTCAGCAGAGGAAATTCCAATGCTCCAAAAGATACCAAATTTGGCACACAGCAACCTTGAAACAAAACAAAACCAGGCAAAAATAAATAAATAAATAAAAAAACACAAAATTAAAAAATTCAAATTTGACCCCCAACCCTCATTTCAGTTTCGGACCCGTTTGTCAGGAGCTGAAACTGGGGGTCTCTATTAACCACTTGTGTCCAAAACAAAGTGGCAGTAGCACCGCTCTCTGTTAACCACTTGTGTCCAAAACAAAGTGGCAGTAGCACCGCACTTCATAACCTTCAGAGTCCAGAGTCCAGACACATTTTCATGCACTGTACTCCCTCAAGAGTCAAAACTTATCTCCAGTTACACAGGGAGACCTCAGGAATCAGTACCCACAGCAGGACCCATTGAGCTAAGTCTAGGTCTTTGTGAGAAAATCTGACGGTCAGAACCAGACCGTAAAGTTCAGACAACATATGTTGGATTTTAAACCCTTGAAAAAGACATACACTTGGTGGGGTCTGGCCCTCAGTCTTCCCACATAGCTCAGGCGAGATGTCCGCTTTCTCCCTTTTTTCAAGCTTTTTGACTGACCCAATTGTTCACCAGGATTGGAACATCGGCAATAAATCACTGTAGGGTTCTCGTGCTGGATCCCCTTGGAATTTCTTGGATCCAATGTAATTCTTCTCATTCTTCTGACTTGTGCTGCTAATGGACCCTAAAGTTCTGCCCGTCTCTTTCAGTTTGGCACTGGTGGACCTTCAGATTGTGACCTCACCATGTAGCATAAGGTGAGACTGTACGCAATTGGGTCCATGCACCAATGGTGCTGTGTTCGCCGTAAGAAACCATGAACACCAGCATTTTAACAGCCAAGCTCATGCTCTCTAAGCACAAATATAGCACCAAGGCGGCCTGGCCCACAGCCGCGGCCCCACCCTTGTGGTCATACCCTGCCCGTCCACCTCCTTCCGAGCCCATGCTTGACCCACCCTTGTGGGGGACGCAAAACAACAGTGCACACAAACCCAACGTCATGCACACGGTCTCACAAAGACGATTAACAGCAATGACCCGCAAGGCGGGATGTCAATTTCGAAATAGTAACATTATGGACGTCCCATCCCGATGCCTTCCACCTTCACACCGTCAAACCCTATGATCCGCCAGTCATACCATCGATCCTGACAAAAATAAGCGGTAGCCGCGCTAAGTAGTGACGAGCACCCTTGTGGTCATACCCTGCCCGTCCACCTCCTTCCAAGCCCATGCTTTCCAGCGCACTGTATGGTCACCCCCTACACAAACACAATGCCAAGGAGGTCTGGCCGATAGTCACGCACCCACCCTTGCCTGCCGCCCCCTCCAACCCCGTTCTTTCCAGCTCGCTGATATAGTCACCTTCTATACAAACATAGCACGAAGAAGGCCTGGCCCATAGTCACAACCCCCACCCTTGTGGTCATACCCTGCCCATTTGCCCCTTTCCAACCCCATTCTTTCCAGCTCACTGATATAGTCACCTTCTATACGACCATAGCACCAAGAAGGCCTGGCCCATAGCCGCAACCCCCCACCCTTGTGGTCATACCCTGCCCATTTGCCCCCTTTCAACCCCATGCTTTCCAGCTCACTGATATAGCCACCCCCTTGGGATATCCATCCTAACTCTTTTCCTTCGCTCCATCACTTTTCACTTTCCTCGGGAATGCCACCTCTATTCACGTTGTTTTCAAACTTTCGCGACAAATCTGTGGTCCCGCTTGGCATTGGGATCAACGAGTGGTCTCGTTTTGTCCGTCATCAGGGAGGGTTCTCGTGCAATGATTATAGTCACAAGCACATCTGGGTCTGGCCTGCCAAACTAGCTCTCTTCAAGCACAGCTGCCCTTCTTCGCCGACATCAAGGCCAGTTAGTGAAGGTAATGTCAATCACTCCAACCTCCATGTCCACCAGCCAGTCCTTAAGAGGAGGCTAGGATTTGTTGCGGACTTCAGTAAGTTTATTATCCCCTTCCTTGCTTAGGCCCAGAGTGCAAATCGCGCATGTTTGCGGCTCCTTTGGAGGAATGCATCCATCGAACAGATAATGATATATCCGGAGAATAAGGTTCAACTTGCCAGCCAGACAGATTACGAGCGCTATTCAGATGGTCCCTTGACCCCCTTGACTATTTCACTTCCTGCCAACACGCCCCTCTTTGAATGGGTAATAATATATCACCAGAGAAGGTCCCACTTGACAGCCAGACAGATTATAAGAGCTATTGCGATGATCCCTCAACCCGCTCAACTATTCCACTTCCTGCCATCATGCCCCCCCTTTTTCGCCGAAGTTCCCCACCCTCTACTCAGCATTTTTTTCAAAGATTGATCGACATGTACATGGCATGCACCAACAAATTACACAATTACACTCTTTCCAACCACATTATCCATACCTGAGCTCCATTTGTTGAGTCCTGCACACATAGGAGCGAGAGAGAGAGAGAGAGAGAGAGAGAGAGAGAGAGAGAGAGAGAGAGAGAGAGAGAGAGAGAGAGAGA